CGGGAGTTCTGAGGGGGGCAGTCAGGGGGTGGAAAGTGGGAGGGGGCAGATGGGGGCGGGGAACAGGGGAGGTTGGATAGGCGTGGGAGTCCCGGGGGGCCTGTCAGGGGGCGGGAGTGAGGATAGGTGTCAGGGGACAGGGACCGGGGGGGGGTTGGATAGGGGGTGGAGTCCCAGGGGGCAGTTAGGGTGGGGTGGTCCCAGAAAGGGGCAGTCAGGGGACAAGGAGCAGGGGGGTTGGATGGGTCAGGGGTTCTGAGGGGGGCAGTCAGGGGGCAGGAAGTGGGAGGGTTGGATGGGGGCGGGGGCCAGGATGTTTGGGGAGGCACAGCCTTCCCTACCCAGCCCTCCATACAGTTTTTCAATCCCAATGTGGTCCTCGGGCCAAAAAATTTGCCCACCCCTGCGCTAATCCCTCGTGTCTCCCGGTCTGCCCACCAGCAGCGTCTGAACCCCTCTGCACTCACTGCCTAGCAATCCCAAAGTGACGGGGAGAGTCATATGGATAGTTCATAAAAACAGGACAGAAAAGTCCCACACTGGTCACGCCTGTGCCCTGGGAACAGGGGAAAACAGCGCCCGGCAAACCCCTGCAGAATGGCAGTGGGTATAAAACTGTGCACCAGTGGGGTTCTGGGATAGCGCTGTCTGGCGCAGAACCTCCCCAAGGGTCCAGCTCCAGCTCCGTGTTTTTACTCTGCCAGGCGTTTAACTTGCCGTACGTTGCTAATGGGTAGCCGGGAGCAGGGTGAATTCCATTTATCTGAATGGCCTGGCGGGGATCTGACACCCTTGGATAACAGGGTGTTCGGACCAACAGAAGCCCGCAACTCTCTCTTGCGGCTGCTCCCCCCTCCCTGCTTCCTGCATCCCTGCTGGGTTGTGGGGAGGACACAGGCCATTAGAAGAATTGAAATTCAGATAAACAGACGTTACCCGTGTACTGAGGTGACAAAAGGGGCCGAATTCCAGCCTCGTTCACCCGCGGGCACCCAACCCAGTGCAATCACGGGGAACAGGGCTGAACGTCAGACCTGGTCGGGTGTGTCATTTCCTGTCGCATGCACACAAACGTGCTCACAGAGCTGCAGGCCTGATTCTCCTTGCACACACAGGCACAACCAAACACACAGAGGCACCCGCTAAAGTCACTGGGCCCGATTCTCTTCTTCCCCCAGTTTTCCATCAGTGTAACTCCATTGCACTGGACAGGACCTGCCAGGAGAGGTTAACTAGGACCTGGTGCATAGCCTCCCCTGACCAGCCAGGCCCCGTTGTGCTTGGCGCTGCACATACATATCAAGGAAAGACAGTCTCTGCCCCACACAGTATGCAGTCGTGGTGGGCAGGCCGTTCCTAGCCAGCCAGGGGAGCGAGGGCTGGCTGCAGCTGGCAGCGGCAGGTAGGTCATGGGTCCTTCTCTGCATCATTGTGTCGGCAGGTCTGGGACGATGCCCACGTCCAAGCCCTGGCGTTAGCGGAGACTGAAGGCTGGGTCAGCGTCCATCCCTTCGACCATCCTTTGATCTGGTGAGAGGTTGGGGCTTTGGCCCTTATACCGTTCCTTGCTCTTCAGGCCTGGGGCCTCGCCATACCCACCCCTGCCCCTGCTCCCTGGGGCCTCGCCGGCATCCTCCCCCCATCCCTCCGACCCACACCTGGGGCCTTGCCACCCCCCCACCCTCAATTTCTGTGTCTTCCTCTTTCTTCCTTTTACAAAGCAAATGCCCTGCTCACGGTTGGGGCTGCTGTTAGGGTAATCAGGCTG